AAAAGGGGAAATAGAAAACCTAAAATGAATGCCTGCTTAATTAGAAAATAAAGGTTATATATATATATATATATATATATATATTCAAAAACCTACAAATTATCTCGAAAACTCGTTGCCCATTAAAAAGGGGAAATAGAAAACCTAAAATGAATGCCTCCTTAATTAGCAAGCGAACATGCATGTTTGTACATACATAGGAATATTTCATGCGTAATGTCCTTAATTTGTTCGTGTTCTGATCAAACAGCACCATTTTCTCCTCACGATTGACTTGTTTAATATCTTTCATTTTTATATGGTTTTATACTAACATTATCTTCACCCTTGCGCTGGTTGTTCGTTTCCCATGATTCTTGTCTTCCCAATCATTTTATTCTCACATCAATCCCCAAAAGACACTCAAAAGACACTCAAAAAACCCTAATCATTCCTTGAGTTTAGTACAAACAGATCAGTAAAGTTGGTTGTTGTAGAGACGATGATCTCTTGTACACGTAGTGTATGTCTTCGCCACATGCGTAACCCTCTAACTCCATAATTTGGCAACCGACACCATTATTCATTAAAATAATTAATTAATTTTTATAAGGAATATTTTCAATTATTGTGCTTTAATTTCATGACCTTGAAATATCCTGCATAATCAATAGTTCTCCATCGGTTCATTGCATGATGTATAAGAAAATGATCATCATTAGTTGTTATCAAGAAAGCATTATTTTTCAGTCCGCTCTGCAATAAATTAAGAATATTAGTTTCTGATAGGAGACAAAAACACCATTAATAAATTTTTGTGGCTTTTTCAAATTTTTAACGATATTTTTATTTTTTTCACACACAGAATTGATGTTATTTTTATAAGACAAATTGCACGCAACACAAATTTCTAAATCATCGATTTCTTTTATGGATTAAACTTTCTCTCTGTTGTGGATTGGAGTTTGCAACTGGTAATTAAAAGCACTCAACAGTAAAGGGTAAAACTTTTTGCAGTGTTTTTAGATATGAGAGGGGGGCGTTAAGAGAAGATTAAATAAGGAATTGTAGTGGATGTTAGTCATGATGTAAGGATTAAAGTGCTTCTTGTACTCATACTTAATACCTCAGTTTTATCTTTTAAAATGAAAAACAATTTTTTAATTCATTTATTAATGTCAGTTTCTTATTATTTGTAATTATCAATCTCTATGACCCTCGAAAGATTTGCTTGATTGCGATTAAACGCAAGAGTTCCATTCAATGTTTCTGTTAAAATCATCGACGAGAGGATTGGGGACTCCATATGAAACATATTGAACTATGAATTGCAAAAAAGGATGGCATAGTCATGTTTCTATCAATGGGGCAGCATGGTGTGGTCCTCATTCATAATATGTAAAAACAAGTAGTAGTGAAGAAAAGGGTGTTTAACATATCCCCGAATCTATGA